TATGGCAATAAGCCCAATCATAGTGAAAAACAATAAATCTTTATCAATTACGCGGTAAAAAATCAACTAGGATGGACCAAGTCACAATCCCCAATAGTAAATGACCCCGCGCTCGTCATACAACGCGTGTCTCATCTCAACATAGCAGTATGTTGTGCAATCCGGGGTTTCAAACCCTCAGTGCATCATTTAAAATCATTACTCACCTCTAGCTCGCTATGCCCTTGCCTCTCCGGTTGGCCTCCTGGTACGACGAATCTGCCAAAAAAAATCANCGTCGAATCTGGTCAAAACCACAACGAATACATTACAATAGGCTAAGGGAATATAACCCAATCGAAAAGACTTGAAAAATATCAAAATTCACGAAATTTGCAAAACCCGAGCCCCGGGCCCACTTCTCGAAAAATTACGAAAGTCCAATCAACGGACTCCTCGTCTCGCCACGAGTCCGTACATATAAAATTTACCAAAATCGGAGTTCAAATGACCCCTCAAATCTTCAAATCTTATTTTCAAATCCCTAGGCCTAAATCTTCAATTTACTCCTCAAAAACATGTAATCTAGTCGGATTATTCGATGATAATTCAATATTATGGAGTAGAAATAATCACAAGTGACTTACCTCAAGATTTCCCAAGATTTCTTGCTAAAAATCGCCCAAAATCCGAGCTTGAAAGTCAAAAAAAATGACCAAACTCGGACTGCTGGATATTAAATCTGTCCCGAAATTTTCGCTATTGTTCATGCGGGGGCACAGTTCATGCGCGTGAGCTTTTAAGAAATTTGCAGCACAACCATTTTTCAGTAAAATGGCTCTAACTCCATCATACGAACTCAGAATTAGACGATTCTTGTTCCTATGAGTCTCAAATAATAATACGAACACAACACTTCAACCGAAACTCAATTCGGAGCTCATTTGCCTAGTTCAATACCCATTTCGCTCGTTAAACAATTAACTCACATTTCACGTCAAAAATCCAACCGCGACTTGATGAAATTAAACCAAAATTTTCAGATCAGTCCTATAATTCATGATTTAAATTTTAAAAGTCTTGAAATCAAATTTGGATCTCTAGAACTAAAAATGAACCTTTAGATCATTACATTTATGCTCAAAACGGCAAAAATCTTCCAAAAATGACCCGTTGGGCATCCGAAACACACCCGAGGCCCCCGGGACCCCGACCAATAATACCTACCAGTCCCAAAATATATTACGGAGTTGCTCGAGGCCTCAAATCACATCAAACAACGCTAAAATCATGAATCAACCTCCAATCCAAGTTTTATGAACTTTAGAATTTCCAACTTCTATTTCTGATGCCGAAACCTATCAAATCACGTCCGATTGACTTCAAATTTTGCACACAAGTCCAAAATGACATAACTAAACTACAAAAATTCTTGGAATTTCATTCCGACCGTCGGATCAAATTTTCACCTATCAATCGGAAATCGCCAAAATACTAACTTCGCCAAAATGAGCTAATTTCTTCACCGGACCTCCAAAATTAATTTTGATTGCGCTCCTAGGCCTTAAATCATCCCCCGAAACTAACCGAATCATCGGAATTCAATTTCGAGCCCTCTAACTCACAAGTCAACGTCCGGTTAACTTTTTCAAACTAATTCTTCCTTAAAGAGACTAATTGTCCCATTTCATACCAAATTCGATCCGAATTGACTCAAATTCACCAAGTACACATATTGAAACATAAATAAGCATTTAACAGGGAATGCAGGACGAAAATACAGGAAACGACGGTTCGGGTCGTTACAATAGTGTATCTTTATGTTTCCCTTGTCAAGGGTTCTCATTAGTTCTACTGTTTGTTCTTGTGTTAGGTTTGATATGTTTGTGTTTGTGTTGTACTGTTAAAATAAAATTGTTGTTCAAACGCAGTTAAAATAAAATTGTTGTTCAAACACAGTTAAACTAAAATTGTTGTTAAAACCGAATTGTTGCCATTATTTACATAATGTAGTATTTACACAAATTACAAACATAAGTAAATCAATGAGTCCCGCAGCCTGTGTGCTTCAGTGCTGCTGCTGGCCTGAGTCGCATCCCCTGTCGCCCGGGTACACTATCGGGATCATCATCATCAAGTCGCCTCTTGATGTGAGGATGCGCAGCAGCATCGATAGTACAGCTGGCAGGACCGGTAGAAGAGGCCGTCGGGCCGTCAGCAACCTACAAAACAAGTACTACGCTTAGCATTTGAGAATGTATATTAGTATTGTACGTGTTAAGTCAAAAACATTTTCTCACCGTGGTCTCGTCGGCCTCCTGAGTATATGCATCCGTGGTGTCCTCATCAGCGCATACAACGGCCTCCGTGATGGGCTGGGATGAAGCCTTAATAAGAAAATTAAAAATTAATTAATGGAAAATCATTAAGAAAAAAAGAAAACAAATTGAAATTTTACAGTAATAAAAACATATCTGCGCCTGTGGTAGATCCAGATCAACCACCGGGGATGAGGCATAACTCAACCTGCACCCGCCATCCACGTCCCAGGTCGGCCGATCCTCAGCTACGGTAGATGGGCCTGAAAAGAACTGGTCTACATCCTCGTCGAATGTACCCGTGATCAACAATGCATTTGACGGGGTGACCTGTGATACTGGCAGAGATAGCTGAAGGCTGTACGATGGCATGCTGCTGGAAGGCTCATCTACGTGAGGGAAATAACCCGGCTGAGCATCTCCAAGATCCTCATCTCCAAGTGCCTCAATGCCCCCTTGCTGGGGACCACCTCCTCACCGTCCCCCGCGATCTCGTAGGGCACCCCTACCTCGTGGGACAGCCCTGCCTCGTGCCCTACCCCTGTCTCGTGGGATAGCCCTACCCCGATGGTACTCCTCTGGCGCCGCATACTCAGCCTCATGACCAAACCTCATGCCATCTCTCGATTGAAACAGGGTCCGACGAGCCAACTCTTCCACTCGGCGGCCATACTCAACGAGTGTAGCACTGTCGCCATGCTGCTACATCTCCTGTCCCAACAGGTAGAACAGATGATGCCCAATAGCCTGCGAAACATTTAAAATATTAATTAAATAACGCTATATCACAATTATAAGATATTAATAAGCCACAAAAACATACCAGTGTCTCGTGCCTCTCGGCGTATGGTTTGTAGCGCTCGCCAAGTACATGAATGGGGTTCCCGATCATCAGTCGGGTGTGACGGCGGTACCATGATATATACAGCTCAATAGTGGCCTCCTGGATATGTGAAGGTGGTGGCGGAATACGGTACTCTCGCTGGTACCAAATATAGACCTGCTGCTCAAGTCATCCTATAAATGCATCATCTACCCTAGTACGGTCATCCCGCTGATAATGTGTAGGCACTCATGCAGGCTCCCCCGGTATAGGCTGGGGACGGTGAAACTGGTGAAGCACATGCTATGTGGCATGATACTTAACCACATCGAAGAAGATCATCGGGACGGAAGTGCTCCAAAGCAGTCGGTCGACTTAGCAATAATCGGGCAGCTGAGCTAGCAACTCGTCGCTGTATGGCGTCCAGATGAACTACCAAATAATAACATAAAAGTGAGTATGCACAACACAACTCAATTTATAACAAGTAAGTGTAGGTACATATTTACCTATCCGGTCACCAATATATCTAACACATCCCTGACAAGGGAGAGATTATGATGAGCATCAGTCCCTCAGTAGTTCCCATGCCGGAGAACCCACCTCGTAGCTAGAGGGAGAAACGAAGGTGCTTCACCCGGCTCTAGTGGTGGTAGAGGTGGCTGCAACGGCATGATCCGCTACCAGGCCCAAACCTAAGATAAAAGGTTGACGTAAAATTTAAGAGTCATTTCGACCATATAGAATTCGAAGTAATGAACAGAGTATTCGAAAATGTTGTCACTTGTAGAAGGGGCAGAAAACCACATATGTCCACCTGGCAAAGCATGCTCGCCCGACACATACTCCTGTACATGTATGCTAGAATAGCAACGCCCCAGCTATACAAGGGTAAATCATCTAGCTGTTGCAGATGATACAGAAAGTGCATACTCACTAGACTTCCCAAAGTGTTCGGGAACAAGACACCCCGAAAAACCAGGAGCACCACCAACCTCGTGTACCGCTCAATATGGATAGCCTCTATATCGCTGGTAATGTCTGGGTGCAATACCTCCATATGCTCTATGATAGCCGACAAAGAAATGCGACTGTCCCCTCTAAGTACAGCCTTACCCTGTGGTCTGTAACCAGTATACTGCCCCATCAAATCCAAATACTGGGCATGCATCATGGATCTCATGTACTAAGGCAGTGCAACGGCCAGTCCATCTACGCGCAGCCCATACAAAACCTAAACATCCTCAAACGTGATGGTGGCCTCTCCAGTGGGCAAGTGAAAAGTGTGCATCTCCAGTCGCCACCGCTCTACCAAGGCCGTGATGAGAGACCAATCAAGCTGCATCCGCCCAACCCAAAAAATCGTAAAGAAGCCCGTAGCCTGTAGGCGCTCGACTACGCGGGGATGGAAATGATGCTCCCTCAAGAAGACCCACAAATCTTCAGGTCTCCTGGCGCGGAGAGACTGATCCGATAGATGTCCCTCCCATACATAGGAGGACCTATGGTCGCCCTGCAACACTAATAGCTCATCCTCGGCTGGTCCAGGATGCACATGCGGCAAGTCCATGTTGTCTACTATAATTTAAACAATATTAATTGTGTGTTTGTGTTATAATAAATTAAATAAATAATTATTTAATTGGACTGACGGCAAGTCCATGTTGTCTACTATAATTTAAACAATATTAATTGTGTGTTTGTGTTATAATAAATTAAATAAATAATTATTTAATTGGACTGAGTAATTATCTATGGGTTCCAGGCTCGATATTTGAGGCCCAATAGAACCAAGTTATTCTTAATTATTGTGTGTGTCAATTTCAATATTTTTAGAATTTTGTTAGTTTAATAAATTAAATAATTAATTATTGAATTGGACTGAGTAATTATCAATGGGTTCCAGGTTCGATATTTGAGGCCCGGTAGCATCAAGTTATCCTTAATTATTATGTGTGTCAATTTCAACATTTTTAGAATTTTGTTAGTTTAATAAATTAAATAATTAATTTTATAATTGGACTGAGTAATTATCTATGAGTTCCAAGCTCGATATTTGAGGCCCGGTAGCACCAAATTATCCTTAATTATTATGTGTGTCAATTTTAATATTTATAGAATTTTGTTAGTTTAATAAATTAAATAATTAATTATTGATTTGGACTGAGTAATTATCTATGAGTTCCAGGCTCGATATTTAAGGCCCGGTAGCACCAAGTTATCCTTAATTATTGAATTGGACTGAGTAATTATTAACGGGTTCTAGACTCGATATTTGAGGCCCGGTAGCACCAAGTTATCCTTAATTATTATGTGTGCCAATTTCAACATTTTTGGAATCTTGTTAATTTAATAAATTAAATAATTAATTTTATAATTGGACTGAGTAATTATCTATGGGTTTCGGGCTCGATATTTGAGGCCCGGTAGCACCAAATTATCCTTAATTATTATGTGCGTCAATTTCAACATTTTTAGAATTTTGTTAGTTTAATAAATTAAATAATTATTTTTAAAATTAGACTGAGTAATTATCAATAGGTTCCAAGCTCGATATTTGAGGCCCGGTAGCACCAAGTTATCCTTAATTATTATGTGTGTCAATTTCAACATTTTTAGAATTTTGTTAGTTTAATAAATTAAATAATTAATTATTGATTTGGACTGAGTAATTATCTATGGGTTCCAGGCTCGATATTTGAGTTAATTTGACAACATATATTAATTTATTAGTTTTGTAATTTATTTTTATAAATTAAATAATAAATTTTGTAAAAGTGTAATTGGATAGAGTTTGTAGTTACTACATACTTAAACTACAGAAACTCTACGCTAAAAGGCTCTATATTTTACTATGCTAAAAGGCTCTATATTTTACTACGCTAAAAGGCTCTATATTTTACTATGCTAAAAGGCTCTATATTTTACTACGCTAAAAGGCTCAATATTTTACTACGCTAAAAAGTTCTATATTTTACTACGCTAAAAAGTTCTATATTTTACTACGCTAAAAGGCCACTATTACATATAAAAACATCAAACATAACATACATATGAACAACAAATTAAATAAATAATTCAAGGCTAATAATTAACTATT